CGGTCGGCGGGTCGGCGGCCGACCAGTCAAGGGACGCCGACCGTCGGGGTGTGCAACACTGGTGGCGAGGGAAAAGAAATGGGAATAGAATGAATCGTAAGAGTAAAACAGTCCAGGAACACAAAGGACCTTTGTCATAGATACGGGGACATTTTTTTTTGCAATGGAGAAAGTAACATGCGAATTAGTGGAAGGTGAAAGCCTTCCGAGCACGAGAGGAAGTTGTATGGACGCTTGTTGAGGCTTACATGGCGGGCATGACGGTTTGTAACAATTGGAGGGCGAGAAGGCGGGGTAAGAATGTGATCGGAAAATGAGGTTAACAAACACATAGGAGGAATGCAGTACTCAGAAAAGTGTTTGTATCGAATTGGATCGGAGAAGGGAGGTATTCACAATGTGTTCGCTCTCTTTCCCTTACTCTGACTCTCCGCAGGTATGTTTGCATATGTATATATAAATCGTTTATATTTATAGAAGCCATTCGTTGTATAGTGGAGGCAGACACAGTGGGGTCTACGCCGGGAGTCAGCTGAGGTAGAACCGATGGTTCGGTTGTCGAGGGCAGACACAAAGTGAGAATACTGGGAGAAGTGAAACTGCGGGAGGGGTGGTTAAGGAGACGGAAGTTCTATTGCTAGGTTTGCGAAAATGCAGGTGAATATCCAGGACAGTTTAGTGAATCCAAGTGGCACCGGAGGCGAAAGGACATGGTGCAAACCAAGATGTCAAACAGAGTTCACAACAAATGAAACACATGAGATGAGATGGACATGACACGGAGCAAATGGAGATGTGAAACAGTCCATATCAAACGAAAAGCACTCACAATTAGGTGAAAACACACCGTATGTGTCCTTACACGAGGAAGTACGAGAGTTTTGAAAAGACGACAGACACAGAAGTCAACGCGAGTAGAAGAAGCGCAAAAGATTTCTGACCGACGAGTCCCAACAAAAAGCAACCCGTAGAGTCAGCCGAGGTAGAACCGATGGCTCGTTTGTTGACGGCAGACACACTGGTTTCGCAACTGGGAATAGTTGGAGAGGTGAAACTGCGGGAGCTCTGGTTGAGGAGACGGAAGTTGCATTGCTAGTTTGGCAAAAACGGAGGTGGATATCCAGGACAGTTTAGTGAGTCCAAGTGGCAGTTCAGCCGAAACCACATGCTGCAAAGCAAGATGTCAAACAGAGTTCACAACAAACAAAACACACGAGAGCGAAACACACGAGATGGACATCACACCGCACAAATCGAGATGTTAAACAGTCCTCATACCAAACGAAAAGCACTCGCAATTAGGTGAAAACATGTTGTATGTGTCCTTACAAAAGTCCAATGTGAGCACGAGGAGGGGCGGAAGTTCTGAAAAGACGACTGAGACAGAAGTCAACGCGAGTAGAAGAACCAAAAAAGATTTATGATCGACCAGTCCCGACAAAAAGCAACGTTAGAGAGATGCAACGATCACAAAGCACTGGACAGTGGGACGATTCGCAAGGAGAGCCTGACCAGAGATCCGCGCCGACGATGATCCACCAAATCGTGAGCCGAACAGATACCGGTACTGCTTTAATTGGTCGGATTGTTGTGTGACCCAGTTACCCGGAGGCCATGTTTGTTTGAGGAAGGATACCGGTGAATCCGCTGGAGAAGCATAGCAGGCAATTGACACACTTGTTCGAATCAAAGACAACACAAATGTCAGTTGAACATCTGAATTGATAACCAAGCAAGGAGTATACTCCCCGGATCATGACGAGTCGGCGCAGGTCTAAGCTCTGTCATTGTTGGAGTCGGTGGTGTCGCTTTTGTCATCATCGGAACACCCATGGTCAAAGTCCTCCTCCGCCTCGATATCACTAACATCGTAGTCTGTCACGATGTCCTCCTCCGCAATGGAAGATGTGTCGGTGTCGCCATCCCTCAATATTTCTTCTTCACTTCGGTAATCAGCATCATCATCAATGTCCCCAGAAGCAATTATTGCTCGCATTTGATTGACCTTGTCGTCACATCTTTCAACTGGGCTTCCTCGATCTGGTCACGGACCTGTTCAACTCTTGGATCTCCC